TTTTACCGTAGATAAATAAAACCCTTTCAAATGTTCCTCCAATCTAATCAGGTTATTGATCTCTTTAATTCTTGTATTTTCTTTGATTTAACAAATTTCTTTTCATCTTCTAAGGTAAATTCCGTTACATGCATTGTTATGTAATAAAGTTTACATTACACTGATTATATTTATAATTCATTAAATTAAGATATCATTTTCATTTGCATGTCCATATTCTGAACTTTTCTTGCTATTGCCTTCCTAGTTCTTTATATGAAAGTAAAATAAACCTGACAGTTCTTTATATGAAAGTAAAATCCTCGATGCATCCTCATAACTTTTTGACCCAGATTATTACTCGATGCATCATCGTTTTTATTTCGTCAAATATATAGCTTGTGTAATCTGTTAGTCTAAAGTGTAGACCCAAAGTCGAGACAAGAGCTGGAATCAAAACGACGAAGAAAACAAGCAGACCGATTCATGGTCGACAGCGAGTCTTCTGCGGTCGACCGCGAACAGGCACAGGGGCTCAGGAGGAGCTGGATCCGAAGGCGGTCGACCGCGCAAATCTCTGTAATTGGTTTTGGTCTCGGGTTTTGGTTCAGTCGACCGCCGTGGTCGACCGCGAGACCTGCACGGTCGACCGTCACTGTCGACCGCGACGCAGTCAGCCAGTTTTCTTATCTGTTTTGGATTATGTTTCTTCCAGGACTCTATATATATCTAAACGTTTTTAGGGCTTGATATGAACACGAAAAAGAGAGCTTTTTGACTGTAAAAAAGAGAGAGAATCTCAGAGAGATAAAACCCTAGTTTGAGGAGCTTTTTGACTGTAAAAAAGAGAGAGAATCTCAGAGAGATAAAACCCTAGTTTGAGAGCTTGTATTTCTTCTTTAATTAATAAGAGAGAATCTCAGAGAGATAAAACCCTAGTTTGAGAGCTTGTATTTCTTCTTTAATTAATAAAAGAATTATGTGGTGTGACTCTCGAGGACGTAGGCACGTTTGCCGAACCTCGTTAAATCTGATGTGTTCATCTCCTTTACTCTTTTATAAGTTTTGATCAAATTTGTGGTGAATTTTCTACTTTCCTTTTTTCAACACAAGGTCTGGAAGGGCAAGAGTTCGATTGATTGTTTCGAATCCCCAACATAATCATCTCTAGCTTATAGTCTCAAATTCTGTGACTTCTCTTTCTCATATCTTTACAGCTGTATCCTTTTGTTATCCTCCGCTTGAACTTATGTTAGAGTAATAGCGTCATCTGTGAATTGATAGGCATATGATATTCTGTCAAAAAGAAATGGTATATTAATGATGCGTTGAGATTGGTTTTCAATGGTTAGCAAAACTCATCCCAAGAGCATCTAATCTAACCTTCATATTCCAATCTCTACATTGAGCCTGCATATGCTGTGATATTATTGAGATAGTATTATATTCATTTATAACCTAATGCGTGTGATCCTAATAGTTGACATGTTTTAATATATGGCTCTCATGGTCTTGAGTTTGACTATAGATTGAGTTATTAAAAAAAACTACATTCGTGTATGGCAGTTTTATATATTCATATAGTCTTTATCAATAGTAGACAAGAGATTTTCCATATTGGTATACAGCCACCCTGATCCAAGTCCAACCTCATTATGCAATACTAGAATCATATGAGCATATTTGGCAACTTTGGATTACAATCCACATGACATATAATTCACAAATGGATTATAAGCTAAGTGAATTATAAGCCAAAGCATTTGGTAATTTTAGTGCATTATAATTTAGTTTTAACGGTAAGAGTTTTTGCCAAATGGATGGCTTATAATCCACCATTATTGTTAAAAATGATAACAATTAAAAAAAGTTAATGAGATTAGAAAGAGATAAGTGGGGGGCATGTAATTATGTGAAATGATAATGGGTAAATTAGTCTATTACTCGGTCAAAACTTGTCAAACATGCTAATAGTATGCAAGACCGGAGGGGCAAATGTAGACCCGTACCCAACCAGAAACTACCAGATAGGAATCAGACATAATAAATCGGGTAAAGTCAATACTATCGGACTAATAAACAAACTACTAAAATATAAAAAAGAACATTATTCAAACAAACTACTTTCGGAAATAACTAATAAATAGAAGAAAGGACATTATTCAATCATAAAAGCAGTCGTCTTTAGTGCCTCCAGTAAAGTGAGTGGAAAAGGACCTCCGCGAATATTTCAGAGCGAGCGGTCTCCGGGCGTGTGGTGCGGGGAATATCCTTCGGTTGTGCGCGAGTTTTGCTCATGATTTCTTGGTTGTAGATTAAAACGTTACTTTGCACATCTACAAATGGATTTTGTGGCAGATTTAGTTTGAGGGCTACGTTGAACAAACTAGTGGATGGGAGTGGACGAAGCTACATGCATTTTGATTTTTCGTCCTTTACTTGTTTAAGCTAAAATGAAAGGAAATATTCCAAGGAGAAGAATCATTGAAAGGCCAAACCCGTGTCATTTTCACTGCACGACCCGGGCGTGACCCGAATGTGGTAGGCAAGATCTAGCTCGATCAGCAGCTCCCTGTCTTGGCTCACATGATAAGACCTCCCCCTGTAGAACACTTGCTTTTAGAGCTCCTTGAAATATTTTAGACTAATTATACATGTTTGTCTCGTAGAACTGATACGGGTGCATCTCCTTCCTTGCTTCGGAAGCTTAGCGATCCTCATGGGAGCTTGTGGATAGATAATTCTCATGGTATCTTGAGAATGGAGACGTGGACGAAGTCGTTGAAGGCGGCAATGTCGAAGAGTACAGGAAAACTGCAGGAAAACACTTTAGACTTCCAGCGGTCTGTTTGCGTCAAAAGTTGGTTTTGTCATGGAATTCATTATATCTTCAGTCGATTACAATAAATTCAAAAAGAGATAGCCTTTTTATAAGACTTCTTTTACACAACAAAATGAAAATTACAACTCTTGGGAAACAAACGCAGGATCGTTGTTTGGATCACTGCTTGCTTGGGATCTTTGCCTGTGCCGGGGGTGCGTTAGCCCGTGGACCACCAAATCACATATTCTGATCGAATCGTGAGGGGTTTATGATTCTGACTTCGTTTATCGAAGTGAGAACTTGAAACGATATCTTATCAAGGTAAGATAGTCGTTCTTCTTGAAATCAAGTCAAAGCCTGAATATCAAGGAGTTACAGAAGCTCGAGTACTCTACCCTCTCTGCTCTGAAATCAGCCTGTGGATGCTCTCTGATCAGCCTCCTCCAAAAAAATCGATCTCGGGGGGTATTTATAGCCTCTGGGATGAACAGTGCTTCCGAGACAGTGTTTACTGTCTCGGGAACAGTAACTGTCTGGCAGTTTTCGTTGTAACTGCCTTCCCACGTTTTACAACTCCGTTATTTTGGCAGTTATCAACGTGATTCTCGCCCACGACATTCCTCATGTTCTTTGACAGTTAATGGACGTGTGTGGCAGTTGTTCAAGGTGATTTCTGACCATTTCAAAACTGTCTCGCACGGAGAGACAACAAACGTTGTCTCGCGCGGAGAGACAGCAAACGCTGTCTCGCGCGGAGAGACAGCAAACGCTGTCTCACGGAGAGACAGTAAACACTGTCTCGCACGGAGAGACAGTAAACGCTGTCTCGCACGGAGAGACAGTAAACACTGTCTCGCACGGAGAGACGGTAAAGACTGTCTCGCGCGGAGAGACAGTAAAGTCTGTCTCGCGTGCGAGACAGTAAAGACTGTCTTTTTTTTCTTTGATTTTTCGATGATCTCCTCTTGAGCTGTATTTGGATATCTATTAGCATTTTTTGACGCCTACACGGTCGACCGCACGTGACGCCGCGGTCGACCGCGAACGTGCACAGCTCAGGGAAAGTCTCTGGACTTTTCGCGCTCGACAGCGACGTACTCTGCGGTCGACCGCCAAAACCATGTAGGCGATTTTTGTCTCGGTCGTTTGCCATGGTCGACCGCGATGGGTTTTGCGGTCGACCGACCAAACACTGTAATGGGTTTTGGTTTCTGTCGTTGGATCCTGTCGATCATGATGTTCTCTGCGGTCGACCGTGACGGTTTCCTGAGCTTTCCTGCTTCGTTTGGGACTCTGTTTTCCTGTTTGATTTTGGTTTATTTAATTACAAGTTGTCATCCACGTTGTAAACTCTATAAAGAGGATTGTTTTAGGGTTCTAAACAATCAGAGAAATCAGAAAGGTGAGATCCTAACCAGGAGATTAGGGTTTAGAGAGAATTGAGAGATTGTTCTTGATTCTAGAGAGATTGTGAGAGAGGGATTTGTAATATATTATTCTCATAATCTAGAGAAGGTATTTTCCTTTGCCAAAATTGAATTGTTCTTGTGTTTTCTATCGTCTTCTTCTCAACTCACTCTTGATAATTTCACGATCAAGGATGCTCGTCCGGCAACTCGTATCAAGAACTAATAAATACAGTTGCAACTGTTTGTTGTAGGCTGGTCTCTAGTTATACAGGTTTAGACTTAAGTCTTTACTATTTAAACTATAAGTAGAGTGCGATTTGCAAGTACAATTTGCGATAAACCTGTAATAGGATTTCAAAATTTTGATAAACCCGCGACCTAGGTGGAGTTCTAATGATAAAAATTAATGACATACATCTAGCAAACATAGCTTTATGCTTGTTTTAGACGGTTGAAATTGGACAATGGAGGTCCTAGGTGTTAGCCCTATTATATATGCCTTTTCTTTTGAAAACAGAAAGGCTAAAAGTTATTGATAAATTTTGGGTTCATTAGTCTACTTCAATCCTCGTTCTTGATCTGAATTGCCGTATCACAAGAGTTGCGTATTAAAAAACGAATACTAACTAATATAAAGAAATCCTAAGGCCTATCTAAGGCCTTTTGCTAAAATAAAAAACAAAATGAAATGTGCTCGAAGTTGTCTATAATTGGGCCAGGCCATTGACAGTCATTGACTGGCCCGTATCTTTTGGTCTCCATATTTTTACCCAAATGAAAAAGCCGAAAATATCTCTAGGCAAAGTTTCAAACTTTATCCAAACAAATTTTCCTCGTCGAATGGCAGCGAGATGTCCAGTCACCGGCCTGAGCTTTGCACCGCCGTCGTCTTCTTCTTTCAGAAGCCACCCTGAAAAATATTTCCTCGTCGGCCAACCCGTAAAGTCCACGCTTCCTATTGCTTCTGCAGGTTTGCAAAATAAATCAATGCGTTTCTCTTATTTGCGGATGCTCGCATTCTGTTTGGTGTTTTGCCTGTGAGTAGTTCTGTTAACAAATGAACGGTTGAGTACAAGTCTATCAGTTGTAAGAAGCGTGAAACTTGGCCAAAAAACATGTATTATTGTAAAATTAATTACAAGCTCTTATATTTTGTGTTATTTTGTGATGATATAGGGAAAGCTACTAGAGAGAAGTGTAACTTTATTGTATCGAAAAGACTGTCTGGGTTGGAGGAAGCCATGCGAATTAGAAGGTTTGTAACTTTAATATATTGCATTTGATTAGTTAAAGGCCATTTAGCACTTATATCATTTTGACTCCAATATGATGTGCGCGGAGTTATATTTTGCATGGCATGCATACGTTTTAGTTCATATATTTGCTGGATTGTAAAATCAAGTTTTGTTCAGTTATAGTTAGATTAGGTTGGATTGAGCTAGAATTGCAATTTAGTGTGACCCAATTGTACATATGCACAAGTCAATGTTTCTCTTGCGTATCATCAATTTTATTTGTTACGTGAAGGTCTAGAGAGCTTCGAGATTCAGAGAAAGTAAAGAAGAGACCTCCATTAAGGCGTGGAAAAGTCTCTGGTCGGCTTCCTGTGCCGGACCACATTCTGAAACCTCCTTATGTTGGCTCGAACCTATTGCCGGAACTCTCCAAAGAACATCAAATACACGATGATGAGGGAATTGCTCGCATGAGAGCTGCTGGTGAGCTTGCTGCCCGTGTTTTGGAATTTGCAGGAACAATGGTCAGGGTAAGAACTAATTTTGACAGTGTAATTTTCAGTTTCTGTGTTTATCCAACATAAGTGTATCTGATTTTCTGCTGTTTGCTTTAGTTTATTTTTCACCCTAAGTTCAGCTTCCCATGCATTTGTTTGGTTTTCCATTTGAACTTTTTCATGTGTTATGTCCTTACTGGATGTTTGATCATCTAATACACAATGAATGCATATTTCGACGTAGTAGTTTTTATTTTCTGCTCTTCCAACATGGTAATTGCTGGTTACGACCAATTCACAAGACTTCGAAGGGACATAATGACATAAACCACCATGGCACTGTTAGGTTGGGGGTGGATACCAACCTACGACGGCGGAGGAGCTCCGACGAGCTCCAGATTGATGCAGGCGAGCGTCGACTCAGCGAATTCGACGACGAACGCGATGGTGGCAGATGAGCTCGAGCAGTTGAGCTCGAATTGGGCGAACGCGACCCTCAGCGAACGCGCACCTGACCATGGCGTCCCAGCTCGACGACCCGCGCGTTTGGGAGATGGCGACCCCGCGTTCGGAACTCCGACGTCCGCGTCAGCGCCCCACCATCGCGTCCGCGAAAAATCCCCAAAACGCAGCAGCGTTCTCCCCCTTTAAACGCAGCAGCGTTCTCTCAAATCGCAGCAGTGATTTCTAATCTCCAGCTCTCAAATAGTGTTTTGAGGGGAGATAAAGAAAGGGATTAAAAAAGAGAGAGAAAAAAAAAGAGGGGTTTTATAAGTGGGTTGTTTAATTATTCTCAAGTGAGATTTGAAATGGGTTTATTCCCTTTAATTATTAACACTGTAGCAACAGTGTTTATTTGAGAAATCTCAGTTTAGGGATTTGCTCTTGATTTATAATTTCTTATTTGATTAATAAAAAATTTATTGTGTGGCTCCCGAGGACGTAGGCAGTTGCCGAACCTCGTTAAATCTTGGTGTACTTTTTTCTATTCTGTGTTTCCGTTGCATTAGGGATTTCGGCGTTAGAATTCCCAACAACTGGTATCAGAGCGTGAAACGATCTAGAGGAAGTCAGATTCAAGTGGGAGCCATGACCGCAGATGAGGGAAAGGTGAGAATAGAGAAGTTTGATGGATCAGATTTTGGATTCTGGAAAATGCAGATAGAGGATTATCTGTATCAGAAAATTCTGTATCAACCTCTCTCGGGGAAGAAGCCGGAGGGTATGAAGGAAGAAGATTGGAATCTTCTGGACAGAAAAGCCCTCGGGGTTATTCGTTTGACGTTAACCCGCAATGTTGCTTTTAACATTGCAAAGGAGAAGACCACGGCGGGTCTTATGGCAGCACTCTCAAATATGTATGAGAAGCCATCAGCCTCAAATAAAGTCCATTTGATGAGGCGGTTGTTTAATCTGCGAATGGCGGAAGGTGCATCGGTAGCACATCATCTCAATGAACTCAATACAGTCACGACCCAATTGAGTTCAGTTGATATTGAGTTTGATGAGGAAGTTCGAGCGTTGATCCTTTTGTCTTCCCTACCAGAGAGTTGGAACGCTACAGTCACACCTGTGAGTAGCTCGTCGGGAAAGAGAAAGTTGAAGTTTGACGACGTTCGTGATCTGGTTCTCAGTGAGGAGATCCGACGGAGAGAGTCGGGTGAAGCTACAACCTCTTCAGTATTGCATACAGAGTCAAGAGGTAAAAGTTCAACCAGAGGAAATGGATCAGATGATAGGAGATCCAAATCCAGAAATCCCAACAGTTCGAAGGCTATCGAGTGTTGGAAGTGCGGGAAAACCGGGCACTACAAGAATCAGTGCAGGAGTGCACGGGAGGAGTGGGAGGCAAATGCAGATGTGAATGTTGCCTCCACCTCAGGAGGAGATGATGCGCTGATATGCTCTTTGGAGAGCAAGGAGGAGTCTTGGGTGTTGGACTCGGGAGCATCATTCCATGCTACTTCTCAGAAAGAATTCCTCGAGAAGTATATCCCCGGAAACCTTGGAAATGTATATCTTGGTGACGATCAAGCATGTGCCATTATTGGCAAAGGTGTAGTGAAGATTAAGCTGAATGGGTCAGTATGGGAGCTGAAGGATGTCAGGTATATTCCCGACCTGAAGAGGAACTTAATCTCAGTAAGCCAGCTGGCTAGTGAAGGCTACACGATGACTTTCCATGCGAGAATGACTGGAGGATTTCGAAGGGCGCAATGACGATTGCCAGAGGTAGGAAGACTGGTACCCTGTATATGACAGCGGGTGCACGTTGTTCGATCTCAGTTGCAGCAGGCAATGAGACTTCAAAGCTGTGGCACCAGAGACTCGGTCATATGAGTGAAAAGGGGATGAAGGTTATGCACACAAAGAGAAAACTCCCAGGTTTACAATCAGTAGAGATTGATGTGTGTGAAGAATGCATACTTGGAAAGCAGAAGAGAGTTAGCTTTCAGGCAAGTAGCAGAACCCCTAGGAAGCAGAAGCTAGAGCTTGTTCACTCAGATGTTTGGGGACCAACAACCACCGCGTCGATTGGCGGGAAACACTACTTCGTGACTTTTATTGATGATCACTCTCGGAAAGTATGGATCTACTTTCTGAAGAAAAAGTCAGAAGTGTTTGAGGCTTTCAGAAGATGGAAAGCCATGGTCGAGAATGAGACCAGTTTGAGGGTAAAGAAACTCAGAACAGACAATGGTGGTGAGTATGAAGACACCAGATTCAAGAAGTTCTGCTATGAGCACGGTATCAGAATGGAGAGGACCGTGCCCGGCACGCCTCAGCACAATGGTGTGGCTGAGCGCATGAATAGAACGTTGACAGAGAGAGCCAGAAGCATTCGGATGCAGTCAGGTCTACCGAAGCAGTTCTGGGCAGAAGCAGTCAACACAGCAGCTTACTTGATCAACCGAGGTCCATCGGTTCCATTGGAGCACAGAATACCAGAAGAGGTATGGTGCGGAAAGGAGGTAACCCTCTCACATCTCAAAGTTTTCGGTTGTGTAGCTTATGTGCATATAAGTGATCAAGGCAGGAATGAGCCTGATCCCAAGTCCAAGAAATGCACATTCATCGGGTATGGTGAAGACGAGTTCGGCTACCGCATTTGGGACAACGAAAACAAGAAGGTGATCAGGTGCAGAGATGTGACATTCAACGAGAAGGTGATGTACAAGGACATGCACAGGACAGATGACGGTGACTCAGAGAGCGAGTCAACATTTGTAGATGCAGATGATGTCCCAGATAACCTCTCGGAAGAACCCAATGCAGAAGGTCCTCAGCCAGAAGAGACTGTTGTACAGATTGGTGCGCAGAAGCCCGACGCACCAGCTCCGATATTGAGGGGAACTACTCGTCCTCCTGTGCCTAACAGCAGATACATGAATTATATGTTGCTGACAAATGGAGGAGAGTCTGAAAGCTTTGATGAAGCTTGTCAGAGTGGAGATGCGAGCAAGTGGGAGTTTGCTGCGAAAGAAGAGATGAAATCTCTGATCTCCAACCAGACATGGGGACTAGCTGAGTTGCCCATAGGGAAGAAGGCACGTCACAACAAGTGGGTGTATCGAGTGAAGAAGGAACAGGGTGGTTCCAGAAGATACAGAGCCCGACGAGTTGTCAAAGGATTTCAACAGAATATCCAAGGAAGAAAGGATCCAGCGGATATGTTGACAAAGGCAGCGACCTTTCAGAAACTGAAGTTGTGTGCAACTTCAGTTGGCCTTCATGCATAGATGATGAAGGCGGAGCCACACAGGAGAGGAGCTTGATGAGATAGCCTGATTGTCGTCGGTTTGGTCTCCAAGTGGGAGATTGTTAGGTTGAAGATGGATACCAACCTCCAACGGCGGAGGAGCTCCGACGAGCTCCAGGAAGACGCAGCACCGACCTTGGCGTCTTGGCCTCCCACCTCCGCGTCCATCGCATGGCTGGCGACAGGCTGTCGCCAGCCTGTCAATTTTCGGCTATAAAAGCCCCCCTTCTGTGCCCTAGCTGGGTGCTCCTTCTCCCCGACTTTTCTCTGGCGGCGGTGAAAAATCCCCAAAACGCAGCAGCGTTCTCCCCCTTTAAACGCAGCAGCGTTCTCTCAAATCGCAGCAGCGATTTCTAATCTCCAGCTCTCAAATAGTGTTTTGAGTGGAGATAAAGAAAGGGATTAAAAAGAGAGAGAAAAGAAAAGAGGGGTTTTATAAGTGGGTTGTTTAATTATTCTCAAGTGAGATTTGAAAGGGGTTTATTCCCTTTAATTATTAACACTGTAGCAACAGTGTTTATTTGAGAAATCTCAGTTTAGGGATTTGCTCTTGATTTGTAATTTCTTATTTGATTAATAAGAAATTTATTGTGTGGCTCCCGAGGACGTAGGCAGTTGCCGAACCTCGTTAAATCTTGGTGTACTTTTTTCTATTCTGCGTTTCCGTTGCATTAGGGATTTCGGCGTTAAATTCTCAACAGGCACCACAAACATTATTTCATGTCAGATTCTCATTGGAAAGTAGGTAGAGAAACTAGTTTATTGTGGCAATTGACCCAAGCAAATATACATTTTATCACACAGATAACATGTCTGGTTGACAAGGACTATAGGATGATGTGGAAGGAAGGTTATATATAATGTGAATCGGGAATGCTTAAAAGAGTATTTTGACAAAAGCAATCATCATTAAGGAATGAAGAATTACGGGAAAACTGAATTACTTTTGTAACTTTTAATTGGTACTTGGTAGAGATACAACACGAACACCAAACAAACCTTTATGCAACTTTTGTATCTGGCTACATGAATCATTTTGTATTCTTTTTGAGATTTACTTCAGGATATCCTACTTAGTTTTACGATATTTGTCAGTTGCATAATTCATCCATTTTCCTTTATCATGGCTTGGGATAGGCTGTGAAAGGGTAATAAACTAAGCGCAGCATTTGGAAGCATATAATTATAGAAACCATGTTTTGGTAATTGGGAATCTCTTGCTATATGATTCAAGGATATCTTGTCTGGTTTGGTAATTGGGATTCTCTTGCTATAGAATGAACAGATCCTAAGAATGGAACACTTTGGAGTTTGGACAACCATGTGTTCTTTCTTCCATTTGGCCTGTTGAGTTTCCTCACAACTATGGTTTTTGTGATGAGTATGAGGAACATAAATAAGTTTAATAGGGCTAAGGTTTGTGCCATGGCTAAATGAATTTAAGCCATGTGAGAACTAAGGTTGAGCCATTAGTTTCCTAGACTATGATTTGTCGCCAACTCACGAACAATTATTACAAATGATCTGCTTATGTGAAGCTTTATTTCCTGAAGTCACACTCCAAACCTGATCCCAGATTGACTGGAAAAATATTTAGATGCTGCTGCCAATGGACTCTAAGAATGAACAATACTGTAAAGATTGAGTGTCTCCTATTTCTGTATAGGAAACTGAAAAGATGCTAACTATGCTGAAGAGTTTGTAATGGTATTATAATTTCTTTCTACTGTACAGCACCACCTTTTTCTTTCTTACATCTATCACTAGCTAAAATATTTATTAGACTAGTTACAGGTTTCTTTTAGAAAATTGTTAGTTGTCTATTCCCATGCAACTGTTTTTGGTATTTATGATATAATTAACAGTTGCGGAGATGTCTTTATACCAGCCATCTATAACAACCAATGAAATTGATAAAGCAGTGCACAACATGATCATTGATGCGGGTGCTTATCCTTCCCCACTTGGGTATGGTGGCTTTCCCAAAAGTGTATGCACATCGGTCAATGAATGCATGTGTCATGGAATTCCTGACACACGGCAGCTTCAGGTTTGCAAAGATTACAAGTTCTTCCTTATTTCTTGAGTAACTTCGTGATAGAAACAACACTATTTAAAATATCTTTGGCACTATCTTTCTCTCTTACGCAGGATGGTGATATAATAAACATTGACGTGACAGTCTACTTAAATGTACGTACATTTTGCTCTCTGACCATGCAGTTTGGTTGCATCTACTAGATACACGTGAAAACTAATTTGTTGACTTTTTTGTCAAGCTACTTGGTTGGGATTCACCAATTCATTCAAATAATATGTAAGACGTGGGAAAATGAATATGTTTCTGGTTTCAGATCGAATTTCCTTCATTCTGTTCTCTTTTGATCTGAAAGGGATCAGAGTAATATATTTGCATTTCCTGCTATCGAATTGTGTATAAAATTATGGAATTTAGATTAATCCTTTTTCATATGAAGTTTATCGTAGTTTGTTGATAATCATTCATAATATGCAGGAGAACTTGTCTGACTATTATTGTTGGAATTGTACCCTGTCAGGTCGGGATTCCAAGGAGAGAGTGGTTTTGGTCTCTCCTTGGCTAGAAAAAAAAAATGAATAATATATGGATACATAAGTTTGGATTAATAAATACAGTTGAACCTTTTTGTTTCATATGGTCCCAGGTCGAATATCAATCCTTTACAATGTCTAGTTTTCTGGTTTTCAATTTTGTACCAAGAAAGAAAGACCTTTTCAAGATTTGTTATATGACTCAGCTCAACTGAACCCAGAAACCTATTAGTTGCTTTGTAGTGTGGTCTCTCTGATTGACTTTGCAGTGTGGTGTCTCCGAATTACTTAATCATCTTTCTAGTACATAGTAGATACTAAAAAAGAAGTTAATCTCATACTAAAAAATACAACAAAAAGAAGAACGAAAAATATTTATCCTGACTTTAGTGGTTGGCATGATGGATTCTTTTATCACTGAAAAATACTTTCTATATGAAATATTCTGTTAAATACTACTAGCAGATTTCATGTGCCTGTCTATCCACGATGGAATTAAACAGTAGTGGTTTTTCTTTCAGGGATATCATGGAGACACCTCAAAAACATTTCTCTGTGGAAATGTAAACGAGAATGCAAAGCGCCTTGTGAAGGTGATGTATCACTGAGTTACTGCAGAACTAGCTGCTAATGCTATTTTTTTGTGGCCCATTCATCCATATTTTTGTTCTTAAATAGTGGTCACTCTAATGTCTATTTATTGGAACTTCATTTATTGCTTGCTGTGGATAATGCTATAATATTCAAAAGCTAATTGATCTTCGAAGCAGATATATATAATATGCTTTAGTTAACTGAAACTAATGTTCACGGTGAAAAAGGGTCTTAATAATGATGATGATGATGGCAGTGAAAAAGGGTCTTGATGATGATGATGATGGCAATGATAACGAAGAAAAAACTAATGATAGACTAGTACACAGTATGATTCATGATTATGATTCATGATGATGATAATCATCATCATCATTTTTACATGAACATGATTATCTCACCTTGTTTCTGAACTGTTGACTATTGGCATAAACTTGGGAGCGTTTGGCAACCGTGACGTTTTTATCGTTTCTGTTTTTTTTTCAACAAAAACAAAGAAACGCGTTTGGCAACAGGGACGTTTTTTTGACTTGTCCCTTTACAAAATCTAAAAATTAAACATTTTTCTCAAAACACCAAAAATGTGTTTTGATATTCTGTTTTTCATCTAAGCCGCCGCCGCTCGCTTGCTCGCTTG